TAGAAACAATTTGATCCTTTTGAATCTTACTTTAAACCTCAATAGCCAGAAGAACAGGCTTTGGTCTGTGATTAATTTTCCACACAACCTAAACCATATAATATTGATTATTCTACCCATCACCCGAAGACTTATGAGGCTTCCACTCTGGCTAGAGAGACAGGCATTATTCCCAGTTGTGTGTGAGTGCCAGGGATTGTAACCTCTATACACCTCTAAAGGGTATTTATTTCCTCCCAGCCTCGGACCATTTCCTTACATTCATATGGTGATAATACTGTGCTGAATCCCCAAAGGGAAGGTCTCAGTATTTCTCTAAGTATGGAGCTCTCTGTTCTGTGGTACTCTGTGCCGAGAACCCGGCCTCTTTGATCTCACCAGTCTCCCAGCCCTGTCTCTAGTCACGGAGCCAGAGTGGACTGCCTGGGTTCCTCCTTCCTGCAGCTCCGCAATCACAGACCTCACCGGATTTGTTTATGTCTCTCTGGCTTCAGTGTTCTTTGTTGTTTCATGTCTCGTGCCCAAAGAACTTCTTTTTCTCCATCTGTTTTGTCTGTTTTTTACATTTCATCAGGCTAAAGAATAAAATTTCTGTCACTGTAAATCCATTTTGTCCAGAAGTGCAGGTCTCCCTGATACTTTAAGATCTAGTCAAAAGAAACTCTCAGTCCATTTTTTTAAAAAATACACTATGCCCCTTGCAATTCTCTTCGTTTTGTATATGTCCTCGATCCTGTCTCTACCTGATCAATTCCAACTTAATTTCCAAACTACATTCACTAATTAGTTTTTTAAATGCTCTCATGCAGTTATTCTTTTCTTTTTGTTGTTCTTTTTTTTAATTATTTTTTATTTTTTCGTGCCTCGAATCGGATATTTACGAGCCAGGGTTCTTTGTCCCTGGTACGTGGCCTCGCGGTTGTGTGTCGTGTTTTCTCACGAGACCAAACTCCCCGAGGGCAGGCGCTGGATGCTGGAACCTAGAGTTTAGGCTGGTGCTATTGTGAGTCTCTGTTTAGTGGCTGTCACCGTTAGATTCCAGCCACAGCAGCGGCGCTGGAGCTAAGAAACAGAGGTGTGTGTGTGTGTGTGTGTGTGTGTGTGTGTGTGTGTGAGACAATTTATGTAAATTTTATTTCAGGAGGAAATGAGAATGTTCAGGATGCGAGTCCAAGAAGTGGTGAAAGAAAACGAAGAATTGTACCAAGAACTAAACAAGAACAGCCCCGTTACCAGCGAGGAATGGCAAGTGATGTGCTCCTGCCATTTTGCTAATTTAAGACACAAGATAATAGGAAAAAACTTTACGAGATCATTAAATACATAAATACATTTTCGTTTTTTAGCTAAAATGTTTTAAGGGAGAGTTCCTAAGAAATTAATAAGATACGACGAAATCCCTTCTACTTTTCAATAATTTCTCAGTGCACTTCTGGGCTGCAACTGAGCTCTATCTTTCTTCTCCTAAGTTCCCGAGTGCCGGCCAGCTGGGTAACCTCAGGCTTAATTTCTTTCTTAATTTCTTTATAGGCCTGTTTCTTTACCTGTAAAATGGGAGGGGGTTTAAACTCAATCTGAGGTTTTCAACTTTCTTTTAGGAATGAGGAATCCCTTTCATTTGAAAAAGAAAGCAATGAAGGGAAGGAGGG